TAAGGGAGCGGGAGGGGGGGGGGGGGACGGGGTGGCATTTACGCTACTGAGGGGTACCGTACTCCTCGAGAGAAGTCTTCTGCTTGTTGATTTTTCCTATTTCATGTGTGGAGCATAGTTATGGGTGGAGCGGCGTCAGTACGAGTCCTTCCCAAATTCTTTCCTCTAATAGGATCCCTCTCACACTCGCCCACCATCCTATCAAATCTTTTTGAATTCCCCTTCAGGTTTCCCTGAGTTCTGCTGTCGAGCAAATAAGGGAGTCTATTGCTCGTGAAACGGGAAAAATTAAGATTCGAGAAGTTCTCTCCCCATTCCAAAGACGTCACCACCGCCAATACGATTACCTCCCCAGCAAGCAGGTGCGGCCCCCTGATGGGATTCTTCCAGAGATATCGTGCCCTGATCCCTCTGGCTTGTAGGCAAGTTGAATGGTATGTAAGTTGTCAAAGGGGTCGCATCGAAAGAGAAAACTTGGGGCGGGGTCGTATTTTACAAGAATTCTCGGCAACGCGATGATGTATCCTGACCTTGAACCCATTCAGGTTGTTGGAAAAACTTGAAAATCTGATTTCCTCTGCAAGCACGCATGCTTTCCGGCTGATCTCGATAAATCATTCCACCAGTCTTTTTTCCTCACCAATCGTGTTGCGTAACTTTTACGTTGCTCCGTATCATTGCCTGGTTTTTAGCCACATTCCACCTCAATTCTCCTCCGGCGCACTTTTTCATGAATGGAGCGCGCGTGAACTCTCTCTCGACTGCACTCTCGCCGCCACACTTTCTCGGGTCTTGTCTCGTCGCAATAGTGGGTGGGGAGGATCGTTGAGAGAGAAAGTCCTAATTGACCCGGTTCGGGTAACGTGTGTACGAGTGCGTGGTGTCTGCGTTCGTCATCATCATCGCCATCATCATCAGCATCATCGCTCTCGGTATAACGATATGGTATAACGCGTTTCATTTCCCAGGGGTTGGAAGGGGATGGATACGGCCATAGAGAGAGTTGGCTAACAACCACTAAGACTGCCAATATGAGGGTAGAAGAGAAAGTAGTAGGCGATCAGTCGCCTGATTTCTGATGTCGCGCTCATATCACGCGCAGCCCGTTCGTTATCGCCGAGCTTTCGTTTTCTACCGGCTGAACGTTGAAATATTGATAAGGGCTAGAGAGCGATTCAAAAAATTTTACATATTTTCAGATCACTCTAAAATGAGTGCCATAATGGAGAGTAAACCGTTCAAAACGGACGGTTTCATCAAACAGGAGCCGTACATCAAGGTGAGGCCTAGGCACTACTAGTGTTCCTGTAGAAGATAGAACAGTTCAATTTCAGGAGGAGTACGGCAGTGGCGGTGATCTCATGACTCAACAAATCATGCATTGTCAGCCCAACATGCAGCAGACCATGAGCTGGGATAATTTGCCCTTTGGATCGATGAAGGTAATTTGATGGGTTACCTATAGGACTTCGGACTGATTACCATAAAAAGACTTTACGTCTCCGAGGAATCCCCTGCCCGATTCGAGGAAGTAGAATCGAGATCCCTGAGATGTGGGAGGCGTGGCTGCGTACTTCACCTAAACCTGACGATAGCAGAGATTTTGGAGAGAAATTTCCGAGGAGGCAATGGTGGTCTCTAGCCAGCGCAGAACTACACGACAGTTGTCTCAAATTGAAATGTCCCAAGAGTAACCCACTCTATGCCGTGTTCCAGTGCCACGCCTACTCCGTCTCAGGGATAAGGAGTGTACCTAGGACAGCCTTGTTTCAGCATCATATTCGAATGCCCCTCCGTGCTGCTTCCTCATAATATCGCTCTGAACTTACAGTTTTTTCCCTCAAAGGATTGTTTCTGGACAAAGTATCCAAAAACGTCAGTTTCTTATTTTACTCCTACAAATCCCGAATTCTTCGATTTTGGGATTCCGTGCCAAAAGGATACATTATTAGTATGCCTTTTAGCTTGTAGATGCTGGCGAAAACCGAGCGTGAATTGATGAA